AGTGTATGTAACATCTGTTAATGGCGTCGCATCTACTGAAAAAACATTCAATAGTGCCAAGCCGAAGCACATTACAACAAATGAACTCAAAAAAGACATTTTTACTGATTTCTCTAAACGTACTGAAATGTAAGCTGATTGAACTTAGCGATACGAAAGTATTATGATGCCCTCCTTGATTATTAAGTATCTTTTATAGGTCGAAATTTGTTTGCATTAAATTAACTGAACAATAACAATTTCTATAATTAGTTTACATTATGATTGGGCCCTTATTAGCTTAGTTCTGTATCTAATTGTATGCTATACTCGTAAATAAAAATATCTACTAACGTCTGTTCACATTAAGTTATTTATATTAAAAATTTATTTTTACAATTGTTTGATATACTACAGCAAAATTTAAGCGAATACTTTAAGTTAATTTGTTTGCCTATCAAAATTCTATGCATGCTATAAGTTATTCGCAAAACACATTAATGTGTTTGCTGTAGTTTTTAATTTTATTATGTAAATATGATAAATATATCTATCGTTAAAATGGTTTTCTATATTTTATAAACTGATTATACTTGCAGTTAATAAAAAAAAAAGACTTTTTCGTTCTATTTGTATAAATGTTTTGAAACATTTTCAGCATATAAAATATATCAATGTTTTTTTTTCCTTGGTATAGGATAGGCCATTTAGGCCCTTCGCCGCAACCACCACATCCCTCCATGCTTCTCTGTCATTAGCTAGCTCTTCGCCGTTTATTACTCCTAGCATTTGCAGGTCACTCTTTACTCTGTTTACCCATCTTTGTCTTGACCTTCCTAGTGGCCTCTTTCCATTGGGGATCCATTTCGTTGCCTCTCGAGTTATCTGGTCTTGTGCTCTCCATATGTGCCCTGCCCAGCTAATACGCTTGCTTTTCAGCGTTGCTACTATGTCTGCCTCACTAAATAATTCCCTAAGTTCTAAATTGGTCCGTCGTTCCCACAGGCCGGTTGAGCGATATTTTTTTGGGCCAAATATCTTTCTTAGCACCTTCCTCTCGAAAATAGCTACTTTTTGCTCATCTGTTTTTGTAGTAGTCCATGTTTCACTCGCGTATAAAACAATTGGACGTATAATTACTTTGTACAATATAGTTTTTGTTTTAAATGAGACAAACTTAGAATTGAAAACAGGTTTTAGGGCGAAGTGACATCTGTTAGCTGTATTAATTCTTTGTTGGATTTCTCTATGGTTATCTCCATCTGCTCTTAATTCCACCCCGAGGTATTTGAATGTATTAACTCTTTCAAAAAGCATTCCGATTACCGCTAAGCTTTGTTGGTTGTTGTTTTTACGCGATAATATCATATATTTTGTTTTCCTTCATTTACCATTAGTCCCATGGATTTGCTTCTCTCTATAAGTAATTCTGCTAACGTCTTAATTTCGCCCTCTGTCTTGCCAATTAGTACTATATCGTCCGCGTATGCTAATAGGTTAATATTTTTATTTAGTAATCTAATCCCTACGTCAGTGTCATACAGTCCTCTAACCACCGATTCCAATGCAATATTAAAAAGCATGGGTGACAGTGCATCTCCCTGTCTTAATCCTGTTTTAACTTCGAATTCCTTAGACATATAATCGTTGACCTTAATTTTGCATTTGGAGTTCTGTAAACATGATCTTATCAGTCTAACTAACTTGGTAAGAACTCCTAAGTCTTCCATTGCTATCCATAGCTCCTCTCTTACTTTGGAGTCATACGCTTGCTTGTAGACGATGAATAATCAGAAGAGATCCTGATTGTACTCGTAGCTCTTTTCCATTATTTGTTTGATGGTGTGAATTAGGTCCACTGTTGACCTTCCTGCTCTAAAACCTGCTTGATACTCACCGACTATTTCCTCACCATATGGCTTTAGTCTAGTGAGAAGTATGTTTGACAGAATCTTGTATGAAGAGTCGAGTAGTGATATCCCTCTATAGTTCCTACAATCCATGATATCCCCTTTCTTGTGAATAGGGCATATAATTGACAGAGTCCCAGTTTCAGGTATTTTTTCTTCTTTCCATATCTTATTTATTAATTGTTCCATTTGTTTCGTAATCATGTTCCCCCCATGTTTAAGGAGCTCCGCAGTTATGCTATCTTCTCCTGTGGCCTTTCCATCTTTAAGCATTTTGATAGCCATTTGTATTTCCTCTTTTGTAGGTTCATTCAGCTGTTGTTCGACTGATACTACCGAGTATTCCTTAGTTCTTCTGGCATTGGCTTATTTAGAAGTTCCTCGAACATCTCTCTGAACTTTTCCACCACATCTGATCCATCCGTAATCAGTGTTCTATCTGTTTGTTGCAGAATGGTCATTCTGGGTTTATAGCCTGTTTTTATTTCATTGCATCTGCCAAAAGACACTTTTGCATTTGTCTTGTAGTTCGTCTCTATATCTTGTATACGATTCATTTCCCACTGTCTTTTTTTCAGTTCGAATTACCTTTTTTAGTTCTCTCTGTTGGATTGCCAATTGCCTTTTGTTATCTTCGTTAGGAGTCTTGATTAGTTTCAATCTTGCTGCATCTCGTTTTGCTATCGCTAGCTTGCATCTGTCATTGAACCATTTTTTTCTATTATCTTTCCGTTTGTATCCTAGTGTTTCACTAGCTGCTTTTTTGATAGAATTTTCTATCTTTTTCCCATACTTGGTCTACTGTTTGATTTTCTATTCTTTCACTTAGCTTATCCACAGCTTCTATGTACGCAATTTTGTCCGTCTGCTCCTTTAGTTTCTCAATATCGAATTTCTTGGTTATGGTTTTCTTAGTTCTCCACTTAACTGATAATCTTATACGCATCTTAACTCGCACAAGAAAATGGTCCGAAATTCGGCTTACCCCTCTACAACTCTTTACGTCTAGTACACATCGTTTTCTTCTTGAATCGATCATCACATGGTCTATCTGGTTCTTTACAGAGCCTCCTGGTGACATCCATGTGTGCTTATGGATGTTTTTATGTTGAAATTGCGTGCTTGAAATCGTCATGCCTCTTGTCGTCGCGAAGGATATCAGTCTTTCGCCATTATCATTAGAGATATTATGTAAACTTTCATTTCCAATTACCGGTCTGAACCGTTGCTCTCTGCCAACTTTTGCATTTAAATCTCCCAGCACTACCTTGATCACGTTACTTGGGATAGAGTCGTACACTCTTTCTAGCTGACTATAAAAATCGTTTTTAGCCTCATTATCTTTATCCTCCATTGGGGCATAACAATTAATAAATGCGATGTCGAACCATCTACCTTTCGCTACTATATAACATATCCTATCATTTATTGGCACAAATGTTTTGATGGCAGACAGTATATTATCGCTAACTAGAAAGCCTACACCTTTCTCGTGAGAAATACCTCCGCAGTAGAAAAAGGTCGCGTTCTGTGTTTTCAGGTTTCCTATTCCAGGCTATCTAGTCTCTTGAACCGCTAATAGAGCCAGTCCATATCTGTCAAGTTCAGATACTACTGTTGTCAGTGTTCCAGTCCTGTATAGTGATCTTACATTCCATGTTCCGGTCTTAAAATCCTGATGCTCCACGTTCATCCGAGGCTTTTGTTGTGGTTGTTTCTTAACTATTTATTTTTGCGTATTGGGTTGTTGGCCCAATGACAACCCCCATTAATGGAGGGCCCAACGTGGTGGAGAAGGTGCTTCAGTGCTACGATCTATGTAGTCACTTACTTACCTGAGACGATCCTGACATCCTTCAGGCTACACCTCCACCTGGTTGACTGAGGTCCGCGGGGATGTCACACCCGTTACTCAAATAAAAGGGTACCCCAAGCGGGGAAAATATATCAATGTAATATTTAATTTTTAAATAATTAAATTTCGTGCCAAAACATCTTTGTAACACATTATATATATTTTTTTCTTAACTACTCTAACCTAATTAGACTACAACGTTAAAGCGAATCATAGTCGTAGAATAACTTCGAAGACAAAAAATCAGAGTTTTCCTTAATAATTATTATTGTATTAGTTATAATTTCTAGGTACCATATTTATTTGATTGTGTCTAGTCTAACTACTCCCCCAATTGTTAATAGCCTGTTCAAATATAAAATCCTAAAAAATTTAAAACCTCAGCTTAGCTCTAATAGTACATCTTTATGATTTGTTTTTTTAAATATAATTAACATGGAACATTTTAAATTTTTATTAAAATATCCTACTTAAAACCAATAATAATTTTTACAATTTAAAAAAGTTTTCTAAAGCTAAAAAAAGATATTTCAAAATAACTATTTTGTTATTTCACAACAAAATAGTTTTTGATAGAAGTCGATAAAACTGTTTACTTGCTAAAAAAATGTTAACCACGAAAAAGAAAAAAAAGTATTTTAAAGTGGTATATTTCAGCATTATATTGTTTTTAAGTTAGAATTTTTTTAATGTAAAATTAAAATTTCCCATGTTATTATCAAGTGCCAATACAAATATCATTAGGCAGTACTACGAGTTGACCTAGAGACCTGACATTTTAGGGTTTTTTTTTAATATGCTACCATCAATTGAAAGGTTAAAGCATAAAAAAAATAAAAACATGAAAAATAACTGTTTAATAAGTTTAATCATAAATATAGCTATAAAAGTCATAACTCATAAGTGAAATAATTCTGAAAATATATTAAATAAATTGAATATTCAAAACAGTTTCGGTTAGGTACCTTATTTACAATAACCGATGCATACTAATGTCGATAATAATCGTCTAAATATGTGATTAGCCTCGATGTTTGTTAATTCCGATAAAAGATGTTAATACTAGTACAGTAATGAGCAAATAGGGGTATGATCATAAAGTAAACTAATTATAGAAATTGTTATTGTTCAGTTAATTTAATGCAAACAAATTTCGACCTATAAAAGATACTTAATAATCAAGGAGGGCATCATAATACTTTCGTATCGCTAAGTTCAATCAGCTTACATTTCAGTACGTTTAGAGAAATCAGTAAAAATGTCTTTTTCGAGTTCATTTGTTGTAATGTGCTTCGGCTTGGCACTATTGAATGTTTTTTCAGTAGATGCGACGCCATTAACAGATGTTACATACACTGCAGTAAGTTAGTTTTAAATTTAATACAATTGTTTTGTCAATTACCTTAATGGTATGCGTATACCACGTTGATTAATAAAAAAGAACATACCTAAACTTCACTTATTTTACAGTTTTACTTATAACTGTGACTTCAGGTAGTTTCTAAGTGAGAAAAATAAACCTATATCAACTTTATTCTGAATACCAAATATGGGATTCAATATTGATAGTCTATGGGTAAAATACTTAAAAAAAGAAATTCAAATTTTAAGGGGAACGGAAAGCGCTATATATTAAGGATGAAGCATACACAATATTTGACATAAATTGATTTAGTAATAATTTTAAGTATGTCGAATAATGTACAAATATATTAAGTTTTTCTAGTATACAACTTTTAAAGTTATTTTTATTCATTAGGCGAAAGATAAAAATGATTTTTGTAGAATCATTTCCATTCCCCTTAAAATAGGTAATCATTAACTCTATTTTTTTAGAATGCTGCATATAATTCTGTATTACCTGAAGTAAATGGTGTTTTACCGAACTCAGCATACAAAAACGGATTAACAACCAACAATGGATTGGTAAGAATAATAAGTATTATCGTTTGACTATTATTGAAATTAAGAATACCATAATGTTTACTAATTTTTGTTGATGTACATTATTTTATTCTAATTTACTCGTTATAATTGGACTATGTAAAAGCTTTGAACATTTTTTTTGTTAAATAGGTAGATGCGGCATCCAACAAAGTAAGTTTAGTTTAAGACTTAAGTAGCCGTTATTTTGTCTATTCCCGTAATGCTATACGTATTTTTGACTAATAAAGCAAACACATATAAACTTGACTTATATTATAGTTTTTATTTCTATAGTTAAATAAATGACCAAAGATATTTAAATATTTTTTTCTATACCACTCTCTCTTATGGAAGTAGTATAGTTAAGACTTTTGGCATATAAGTGGCCCATAATATCATACTTTGTCTAACCAGGGGACATTTCACTCATGCTTATATGTATACCAAATACATTTTACACTTTTGTAAGCTACATACTAACTGAAGTAATCGAAGTCAAATGTTGTATACAACTTGTAAATTATAATTTTTCAGAATTATTTAGATACTGGTATTGACAGTGTAACAAAGAACACGGCATACTCAAGCTCAGTAACAACCATTGATGTATGTATTATCATTAGACTGCTATTGAAAATAAAAAATTACAATAGTGTCTAATTTATATTAGTTTGTGTATTTTGTTTTGTTTTACTATTTATAATTCGAGTAAAATGAAGTAAACAAAATTAACAAGTTGTAATATATTGATCAAAACGTACATTGATTGACTTAATTCAGAGGCAAAACAATTAATTAATACAAATTGTTGTAGAGACTTTTTCAGTCAATTATTTGTTGCTTTACAATTGTTCGGATAATTATCGTACATAAAATACGTTATCATATTTATTATATTATTACATTTAATACAAATTACATTTTTCAACTGAGTTGTCTTCATTATATTTATATTTTTTTTCCAGAATGAACCATTATTAGCCGTTCGGTCTCCCGGCGTACTCGATGCTATGATGTATGATACTTCTAAATTAATGGGTGACATGGATAGTTACGCCAAAGCCAAGACATATAACATGCTCTAATTTGTCTGATTGAGAACATTTAAGAATATTTCAATGAAACCTGATTTGTAACCATTTGTTATTTACTATAATTACTAGTATATATCATTAATAATAAATATTCAGAATTATCATAAAACATTTTTTTTGTGATTGTAATTTATTTCCTTATTATAAATTCGGCTTAAACATTAAATGAAATTGGTACAATATATAATTATATTAAAAACTGTGTGGGTTGTTGCCATCGAACACTTAAGTTCGTAGTTATAGTTTATTTTCGACAACATGGTATATTAAAAAGTTAACCGATAAATAAAGGTAGTTCTTAACGAATAGATAATATATTAGCTTTGCTGTGATTTTACTTCCGACCACCAAAACTCTTATTATCAGTGATTCGAATTGGTTATGATAAGAAACGAAACTTGTTTTATGTCATTTTTATTTAATAGCTTTAAGTAGATACTATTTGTTTAACTTACCAAAGTAAGTAGAAAACTTAAAGCTTCGAGTTATATGATTTTAAAACGAACTATTATTTTTTTTAGTTCACAAATGAGTGATAATATAAATTTATAATATTATATAGTTTTTTCCGTATGGCTCGCGACTAGAGGTAGAATTTTTGGTTAACCATATAGGTTTCTACATATATGGAGACTACCCGAAGTTAAGGCTTAGAAAAATGTGATTATAAATCACAATTATATTTTAAAATGGTAATATAATATAGACAAACATAAATACGTGCAAACGTGTATTAAAGTTGTGGTCTGTAATTTCTTCTAGTTTAACTAACTTATGTAATTATTACGCTGATTCATTTTTAGCAAGTTGATAGATCAAAAATATAAGTAAATGTAGGTACTTTTAAGGCGGAAATCTGAAAAAATTCAAGTATTCGTCCTGACACCCGAAAAATTAACATATTTTGTAACTGAAAAATTGACACTATAACTTACCAAAAAACTGATTCATATTATTTCGAGATATTCTTTGGAAACAAATGTAGTTTTCATATTTTGTATGAAGTGAATTTTGTTTTCTACCATGTTGCAGGCTACCCGTGGATATAAATGTAGGACTTTTCCTACTTTCCTACCTACAGTCAAATATCAAAATACATCTATATTTGTGTTGGTAGTTTTTGTAAAAAAAACTAGTTTTGCATTGTCGCCCCAACAATTAAATATTAATATAAATAAATTGTGAAAAATTAGTTTATAATTGTGGGGCGACAATGCAAAATGGCGTTTCACTGACTTTTCAGAAGAGATATTTTTCTGCTATGCAAGGAATATTTGAGTTATAGGTGTCGTGAAAAGTGTAAAAATATTTTTAAACAATGTTTTGTTGGGTAAAGTATTTAGACATTTATTTTTCATTCTTCAATGCGATTTTTTAAATATTAAATTGCATCATAGCGTACTAATTTCAACCAATAGTACATTTTGATTTGTGGAAATAATACGTTTTGACTGTAATTTTTCCAAAACGTTCTATTTTTGTTTCATATTATATGTTTTAAACTAAATAAGTTTAAATATTTTAACTAAATTAAAGTTAAGAACATTTTTTTTTTATAAATTAATTTAATCACTTTCAAGTATAATATTATCCTATTACTAATTATTTTAAAGATCTATGATCTCAAGTGGTGAGAAGAATGGTAATGCTTCGTTACAACTGGGATGAAATTTTTTAACCGCCATTTTTTGCATCTAAGGTAAAAGTTAATTATAATTTATAATTAATACTTTAATAAAACAATTTCTCAATTACCAATCAAAATTTAAAAAATCAAACACAGTACCTAAGTGTGTTCACACTTAGGTACTTCTAATCAATTTCTGCCAGTGTTATGCTTAAGTCAACATATTGCTCTTTTAATTAATTAGCAACTGAGATAACAATAATTGTGAAAAACTATTTACATTTATTCATCTAAATTCTAAACGTATTGTTTGACCTTTATTTCTAATAATAACAAGCTACCAGATGCGTAGTTCGTACACAACTATGATTTCCTTATTCGAGTAACATGTTTTGTTGCATTATAATAATAATATTGGGAAATTCCTTTAGAGTAGGTATGAAAAAAACATAGCTAGATCTACTACAAACCTTTTTCAATAATATTTAACTTTAGTTAAATGATAATTTAATATTTATACCTATAATTACAATTTAAATGCATTTCATCATTTCTATAATAGTTTGATTGGAATATTTCTAAGTCGAAAAGTCAATATTATACTGAAAAAATTATATTAACATGAAGGTACATAAGTATTGTGTTAAAGACTTACTTTTAAACGTATTATTAAATGAGTATTACTATCAGAAATTTCAACAATTTTTTAACAACATCAAACATGTGAACCAATTTATGATAGAAAAAATGTAACTTGGAGAAGAAAGTTTAACAATGAACTGCAAGACGAATTGGGAATTGCATCAGTCATTAGCTTCATAAGATGACAAAGGATTCAATGACTAGGACACGTGATGCGGAGAAGTGAGGATGATATAAGTAGAGCAGTCCTAAATTGAAAACCAATGGGAAAAAGACCTCGAGGGAGGCCCAGGTAAAGATGGCTGGATGTTGTGGAAGAAGATCTTGATAAATTGGGAGTACAGGATTGTAGAGAATTAGTTCAGGATCGAGAGAAATTGAGAGAGATTGTGATGGTGGCCAAAACTCTTAGAGAGTATTCAGTGTCAGATGAAGAAGATCAGAAATGCCAACTTAGTTGTGGACCTGAGAAGGTATTTTAGACTGTTTTATAATAATGAGTTTTATTTATATTTTTCTGTGTTGAAAGTTCGTGTTAATACGATTAATCATTCGGATACGCGACTAGCCACTATGTTAATCTCTCTCATATTGCTTTAAAACTATAAAAAAAAAGGTAGTTTTGTAGTTCGAATATACAGGGTGACCTATCTAATGTAAGACACTCATTTTCCTTGAAAATGTGAATATTTTATAAATAATTTATTTCATATACTTTTAGGTAGATGTTTTAATACATTTTTCAATACTTAAAAAAAATTTTACCTTCATTGCCTATACGTAAATCAAATATAGACTTCACTTTTTCTAATAGAAACATACGTTTTTAATTCTATGATATGTTGACAACAGATTTTTAAAAATGCTACTGTTTGAATTTTTAGTTTTCATCAATCTTTGATATGGCTTATTACATTATAAAGATTTTTATTTAAAATCAATATTCGTACGGGTTTTACAACAGTAACACAACAGTTTCCCATTATATAATAATGCTGACCCGGTCGTTAACACTGCCGCCGTTACTGTGTTTGAATTTAAAAGGTCCCGCTTGTCTATCGTTGTATCAAAATATTTTATTGTGTCTGGTTATCGGTGTTTTCGCCTATCGAACAATGCGAACAAAAATATGAATTTTATGGGCTACTGGAATTTGGAAAACCGAAGACATAATATAATGATAATTATAAGGGGAAATATAATATCTTTGCCAAGTCATAACAAACGAACAGATTGATAAAAATGAAAAATTCCAACGCTAACATTTATTAAAATGTTTTGTCTACATATTAATGGAATTAGTAACATATTTCCCTATTTAAAAAAACAACATCCATACTTGTTTTTTGAATGAGGGATAAAGATAAAAAATTCCAAGTTTTGACAAATATAGTAAAATATGCACCTACAAGTATGGGAAAAAATGGTTTTCAAAATACTCATATTTTCTGAAAACATGAGTATAAGTGTGAGTGTGAGAAAATGAATCATCTGCATTCTAATAAACCATTAGTTAAATCCCTAACACTGTGGAGACGGAGCATAGGACAGGCCTAGAGAGCGATTTACATTTATTAGATTAACTTGATTTAAAAACCTATGAAAATTATTACAACTTGTCGTAATAAAATTACTCTTCGAAGAATTATGTTACGATACAATTCGGTAGATCGTAAAAAATATTTAATGTTAGTAAAATCATTTTAAGGCAGTACATAAGTTTTATAATCTTGCTATTAGGAATTTTGGATTTTCCTTAATGTAGTGTGTATCATAAAATATAAAATAGATTTAAAAATCATTAGTCAACCTTATTTGTCCGGGAAAACCCAAAATACGATTAATTTAATAAAAATAAAGTTTAAGCATGCCCCAAGTACTACACGTTTTTTTCTAAAACAATATATTATTTACATGTCAACAAAAAAACGTGCTATAACACTTTGCTATCAGTTAATAAACGAATAAATGAACAAATTACGACATCGGTACACAACGCCCGATTTTGATCGGTAACCAAGCACAGGTGTCTCATCACGCATGAATCAACACAAACCTTTATCCAACCTTGACGAAACGCCATTTGCGTATTTCCAATTTTTATTATGCTGATGTATAAATGGTATAAATGCATTCATAGCTCACCATGTCGGCCAAAAGTTCACACATTGTCCTCGTTTTGTGTTTGAACCTCGTCCTGCCTAATGTCGTCTACTCATATCCGTTTCCTAGATCGTACAGCCCTAAGGTAAGAAATAAAAACTAAAATGGTGTATTGAACTAAATTTGTGTTTTGCTTAAAAGTCTTTATCTAAAACATAGGTATGAAAACCTTGCGTGATATATTGTCATATGCTTCCCAATTAATCCACTCAAATAGTATTATTAAGAACAGTACTATTAATAGTACCATTGTTACTTTTTGTTACTTGTTTTCCTTTAATACAGTGCTCTGGTCCTAGGATTAAACACAATATTCTATTACTTGACAACAGTTATTTAAAGAAACGCTTAACACAAACGTGGAATAAAAAAATATACAATTAGTAGTGTGGTTTTATTTGGATATGATAAGACTGTTCGTACTTAGTTTACCTGAATATATATTTACTTTTTTATTTTTTATTACATTACGGGCTGTACCCAATATATATATCTGTGAGTGTGTGTAGTCTTTCAGAGAGATTTAAGTGAATAATATTGTTAAAAAGTTTTTGTTTATTTCTATCTTATATATATTTATTTCGTAGACCTAAATACCTTAATAAGATGAATATCTTATTACTGCAATTAAAC